TTTGAACAAATGAGAGTATCACGGGGGAAATATTTCCAGAATCAGGTCAAGTCTCAGTTCCAATTTCCAAATTTTTTAAAGAGTATATAAGGCTGTTCCACAAACCAGAAAAGGCCATACTGTTAGAGGCGCAAGCAGCAGACAACAAAATAAACCATTTGTACAAGATCATCGATGAAGCTGCAAAAGACATGGAGAAAGATCCTCCTAAACCAGCTGAAAGTCAACCCTCAACAGATCCTCTAAACACCAGCTCAATGTTCGAGGGGGAGGGTCCAACTATCACCAACACAGCCAAACTGCCAATCGAGGGGGAGCATCTAACTCCAACTCATGATGGTTCAGTCGAGGGAGAGAACCCAACTCCAACTGCAAGAGAGCATCCCAGTCCAACCGAGGGAGAGGCTCCTGAACCTGACATGGGATACGCTTCGCCATTTGAGAGGGAGAATGCAAATACAAATGACGAAGATGATCAATTGGAATTTGAAGAAGAGATTAATGCGGAGTTGGATCCTGTTTATGACCCGAACTACCCTCCACTAACAAAATGGACTAAGGATCATCCCAAAACATAGATAATTGGTGAATCATCTGAGCGGGTTCTCACATGCTCTAACCTGAAAACGAAGCAAACTGCATTATTCTCTCACATTGAATTCTGCAAGTATAATTCGTTTGTCTCTAAAATCAAACCAAAGACGGTCAATACTGCACTTGATCATGCCGATTGGGTACAGGAAATGCAAGATGAACTTCATGAGTTTGAACATAATCGAGTTTGGAGGCTAATTCTCACACCAAAGGATGCTTCTGTGGTCGGTTTGAAACGGGTCTTCAGGAACAAGATGGATAAAGAGGGCAATATCATTCGGAATTAGGCTCGGCTGGTGGTAAAGGGATATTGCCAAGAAGAAGGAATAGACTATGAGGAGACCTTCGCTCCTGTAGCAAGATTGGAATCGGTTTGAATCTTTCTAGCATATGTTGCTCATAAAAACTTTGAAGTTTTCCAAATGGATGTGAAATGTGCCTTCCTAATTGGAGAACTAGAGGAAACAATGTATGTTGAGCAACCACCCGGGTTCGTGAATGAGAAATACCCTGATCATTGCTATGTGTTAGATAAAGTTGTGTATGGACTGAAGCAAGCACCAAGGGCCTAGTATGAAACATTAACTTGCTTTCTAAAAATGTCCAAATTCAAGCAAGGTTCGGTTGACCCAACCTTCTTTTGCAAGAAACAAGGAGAACATGTAATGATAGTTTAGATTTATGTCGATGATATCATCTTTGGCTCCACGAATCCTAACTTAACATCTATATTCAGGAAGTTGATGGAGACTAAATTTGAAATGAGCGCAATGGGTCCAATTAACTTTTTTCTTGGGTTGAATCTAACACATGGACCAGAAGGTATTTTTATTAACCAGGAGGCCTACACGAAGAATCTATTGGCAAATTTTGGTATGACGGGAGACTCGAAGGTGAAGGTTCTTGTGGCATTTGGCACTAAGCTAACACCATCTCTGGAAAGTATGTTGTTGACGTGACTCTCTATCGTCAAATGATAGGATCTCTCATGTATCTAACAGCTAGTAGACTGGACATAATGTTTTCTGTCTGTTATTGTGCAAGGTTTCAAGCTAATCCTAGAGAACCTCACATGGTGGTAGTGAAGAATATTTTTCGCTATTTGAAGCGAACTTCGTCACTCGGTCTCTGCTATCCTGCAAAATTCGGGTTCTTTGTTCAAGCCTTTTCTGATGCTGATCTGGGTGGATGCGGTCTAGATAAAAAGAGCACAACTGGAGGATGCCAATTCCTTGATGGTAAACTTGTTAGGTGGCAATCCAAGAAGCAAACCTGTATATCTCTCTCCACAGTCGAAGCCGAGTACATAGCTGCTGCTTCATGTACCTCACAAGTAGTCTGGATACAAAGTCAACTTAGAGACTATGGCCTGAGTATGAAGAAGATTCCTCTTTATTGTGACTCTAAAAGCGCGATAATAATTTGTCACAATCCGATGCAGCACTCAAAGACAAAGCATATTGCACTTAGTTACCATTTCATCAAGGACCATGTTGAAGATGGAAATGTGGAAGTCCATTTTGTTAGGTCTTCAGACCAACTTGCTGACATTTTCACTAAAGCATTACCAAAAGCAAGCTTTAATAAAATTTTGCAAGGTTTGGGAATGATGGAAGCAGAGTCGGTACCGAATCCTCAAACCTCTCTCTAAAAAATTAGGCAAGCGAAATAGAGTGAACGCTCGGTCTATTTCAGTTCTGGAATTTTAGGGAACCGAAATGAACCGAACGCTCTGCTTATTTCGACTCCTTAATTTTTGGGAACCGAAATGAACCGATCGCTCGGTCTATTTCCGCTCTGGAATTTTAGGAAATCGAAATGAACCGAACGCTCTGCTTATTTCGACTCCTCAATTTTGGGGAACTGAAATGAACTGATCTCTCGGTTTATTTAGCTTCAATTATTTAATGTTTAAGTTTGGATGTACCTTTGCGTATACTTTCTTTTCGACTCTTTACTTGCTTTATTTTTTCGTTTTTCTTTATTTCTAACTTGTTTAAAATTATTTTTGCTTATTTTTGTTTTTATTATTTTTTAGAATTGCAAACATCCAATATTTTTTTATTCTATTTTTTACAGAAAATTCGAAATTCCAAAGAGATTTTATGTTTTTGTTATCTCTTGTTATCTTCTCTATTATTTCGTTTTTTTTTCGTGTGTGTGGTTTGTTTGTCTCTTCTTCTTTAATAGGTATCAAGTACACAGTCGTAATATGAACTCGAGAAGGGGTAGGTATGTCAATTTCAATATGAACTAGCTAGGTGTCCATAGAAGCATGCTGATGCATGTAGACCAAAGTCTCTTATTACTTTGAGTGAGGCCTTAATGATTCGACCAGTACCTATCGTCTCTTCCCAATCAGGCTGCTATATTCACTCAAGTCAGGAGCAACCCTACTCTTCTCAAATGAGTCAAGAGTTTTCTGCTATGTAACTCTTTTAAAGCAGGGGTACTTTCTGTTCTTTAACCACCTTATCTATATTCTCCATCTAATTTTAGTTCATCAACATAACCCTTGAGACTCTCAGAGATTACCACTGAGGTTTATGGTTACACAAACTCTGAGTTAATGATCTTAGATGCGTACACTACGTGCTAAGTAAGACCAAAATCCAACACCAATGCTGAATTGACGGTGAATATTTATATTCAAGAACTCACTTGTTACCTAATGAAGTCTCTTTTATTTTCTTGCGTGATCTTTATGAAACTGTCTAACACCTAGGCATTTCTTCCCAAAAGGTCCAGATTAGTTTTTGTTTCTGAGATTTCTATTATAAATCCTGTTAATTCAAAAATATCCAACCTACTTGTTTAATAGACCACATCGGTCTCACAAGTACTTCATCCAACGTTTGGTCTTATACTAAGTATCGATGTTCGGTTGAAGATTAACCACCCACTGCAGCCTATGTTTTAAAAGAAGCCTTTCAATGTTTCTTAACAAACATTTGATCGTATTCTCACGGGAGACCACACAAGCACTTCAAGTCTCTCTTGACTTTGAAGGAAGAGATTCGTGCCTGGGATCCTCTGCTCTATGTCGTAGTTGACATCACTCACCTCCCATATACTTATTGCTTTATTTCTTATTCTTTGGCACACTAATTCATGAAAATCTTCATGATTTTCAAAATTCTGGTATGTGACAATTATGAGTTGTTTTTACTTTCGGCTCTAACCATTAAACAGATTTATGGAAGCAAAAGTGGTATTCTGTATCGTGAATGGTGGTACTAACACCATAAGCAAGGGTCGGTTGTACGTCGTGTACAACATTTACTCTGGAAGAAGCAATGTAGTTGACTTAACCGAAGTGTTATAGCAAGATTTTCGGAAGTTTACCATCAAAAGGAATCCTAACGGAATATCGAGTCTGAGATTTTGGGCTCTAACGCTTTAAAAACTGCATGAAAAAAGACGAGAAGCCATTCCTCTCAATTCCAATCTCAAAGAGGTATATCTTTCTTTTAAGGCCATTAGAACTTATAGGCTTCCGAACCAATCTACTTTCGGACCTATTCATCGCTTGCCACAACATATGTTAGCAGCGGTTCCATCCAACTCAATTTATCTCAAACACCATCTTGAGACTTCGGTTGTGTATGACCCCACATAATTTTCCCCAGTTGCAGATGAGAAGCCCTCAGATGCGAACAAAACAGTCTTTATTGGTGGCCAAAAGAAGAAAATGGCTAAACGAAAAACATCACCCCAAAAGTTCAATCCAAAAAAGAACTAAATTCAATGGATCCTCTTAAAAGGAAACACATATTGGCATTCTATCTGACTCAGGATCACTACTAACCCCAATCTTCGACTCTTCCAAAGTACCCATTTAGAGTTTCAATATCACACGCACACACTCATGGGGAGTCTACACACAATCTACCCCTATCTTCCAAAAAAGATGGTGGAGGTATAATCCTTTGAAGCCCCCTGGGACACACCCACGAATCATTTTGGAAATCCCTCTCGATTCTAAACTTTCACAATCAGGAGCTGTTGCTTTTGATGATAAGCTTTCAGAAGATGGATTTGTCCATTCTACTTCTAAATCCCCAACTCGTCTGATACCTGGTTCAGGTAAAGTACGACCAGGTACTTCTGATAAAGATCGGTCTAATTTTCTAGATAGGGATCATTCACATCATCCAGAGATAAAAAGAGCTCAAGTGGAGTATACACTTATCTCAATGTGTCACCGATCTATTCAAAGCAATCTGTCATTCACTTTTCCAACTGATGGAGAAACGGATCAAGAGTTCACCTATTTCGAACAGGCTTAGCAAACCATTACAAGAGATGTTCCCGATCCAAAAATTATTTCGGATGATCCTCATTCGACGCTTTCAAGAGAAGAAACTCCCAAGCCTCCCTCTGACGAAGAACATTCTAATGATATAATGTTTGATGATGACAACACATTTGTTGGTGTTATTTCGATCCTTACCACTATCAAGTCATTACAGAAGCCCTCCTCTTCCAAACCATCATACGATTTCGACCTTTTCTCCTCCTCCTCGGAAGAAGAAGAAGAATTAAATGTTGATGCCAACAGTCCATGGAATCAAGGCAATGAAACCAAAACCAATCCAGTTGATAATCCCGCTCCTTCAGAACCACAATATGATGATGTTGGTGATGACAATGATAAACATTATGATAGTTCTACCTTAGACACATGATATTCGAATGAAAACATCGCACATCTTTTTGCCTTGTTAGAACTCCGAGACAATGTTTCTAGTATTGTTTCCAAGGTTGACTCACTCGACAAGTCTCTAGATCAACTTGACTCCAAGATCGATCAAAATGTTACCAGCCTCGACTCCAAACTTGAACTCATTCTCAAATTGCTCTTCGAGATCAAAGAAGCTGGCCCCTCGGAACTCGATTGGGAAAATCAACTTGACTAGCTTATTTATCTTCGGTTCAAGCATACTCTAGAAGAAGTCAAACAGAAATACAACGACAACCTTGATCACCATATATCCACAACTACTACTGTGCTCATGATTCATGACAACATGATAAGTGTGACCAACGAACTGATCAAACAAACTCATGTTCATCATGAAAATAAAAACCAAAGGCTCAAGAAGGAGATTTAGAAGAAGGATGAGTTGAATCTGATTATGCAACAGGTCCTTATTAAGCTGATTTGAGCATGCTGTAATATCATTGATGTTCCAAATAACAAGTTTTATGAATGTTCTCGATTTTGGGTTCGCTGTTTGACCATCTAAAAGCTCAAGCCCCCACTGCCAAAGCCTACGACTCTCTCTCCAAACATAAAAACATGAGTTTTCAGAGAGTGTTCAAATGCCTAAGTGATTTTCAAAGCACTACCAGACTTGCATCGGATGTTGTACTTACAATCTTAGAGGGGGAGAAAGGCTAGTCAAAGAGAAAGAACGTTCCAATGGAAGCCCATCTCGGAATTTCAATCTAATGGAAGCCCGTCTAGCAACTTTCACTCCAATTTGACTCGACTGATGATGACTCTCTCAAGGTTGAAATCATTGAACCTATTGAGAAAGGTGATGAAGACCTAATTAAAAATGTTGTTCTAGGACTTCAAGCTATTAGGGAACAACCAATGAAGGTTCTCTAGGAAGACAAAGAAAAGAGGATATGTTTCGCTATCTCTTGGCCATCATCCTTGGTAGAAGTGCTCAACCAAAGTCGTGAAATGGCGAGGCTCAAAACCAAACTAACGGTTGATGCCTTCCATGCTACACAATCCATGCCCACGAATCCCTGCTCCAAGAATAACTCAAATCAGTGAAGGTTCTCCAACCCAGAAACCTGATGATCTCCCTGAAGAGCCCTTGGTTCCTCTTCCACCATAATTCATCATATTTGAAATAGTCCAATAATTATCTCTGACCTAAATAGTCCTCTTCAAGATAATGGAAAGAAGATTGCCACTAAACCAGACAACTCAGTGAGGACGTTCAGAAAATATGAAGGCTTGTCTCAAGAACAAATAAATCAAGGCTTGGAAGAAAGCATCAGGATTCAAGCACTAAAAGAAAATTTGAATCTGGTGATGGGCATATCTCCCCTTTTCTAAGAAGGAGTTATTCATGATACTGATTTTGTGCCCTTCATATACGATGATCTTCCAACACAGGATGCTGACCAAGTTGATCTTCCAATCTCTCCTCATGGCAAATTCTACATCAAGTATGATCCTCTTCATCCGAATGATGATCCAGAAACAATCGTTATGACAGAGCATGAGAGATTGAGAACTTTCTACTCCGTTAATGCATGTCCTCAAAAAGAATTGTTGTCTCGGAAGCGGATTACAAAGATTGTTGGATTCGGAAACAAAGTTCAGAGCAAATTTGATCTTAACTATATGTTGTACAGATACTATGTCTCTCAGAATAGAGAAGCAATTCTCATTCTCATGGATGCCGACTTTCCCTCAATCAACCCCAATGACATTCTTGCAATTACTGCTCACCTCCGATATTGCCAAACTAGTCACTCAAGCATTGGAACTTACAGTTTTTCAATCAATTTCTTGAAGGACTACATTGCAGAATTCTACATGTCTGATATTGAATTTGTACACTTGTTCAGAACAAAAAATGTCTTGGCAAAAATCACTTATGAATTGCTTGAAGCTCAAATCTTGGCAGAAGGACCTATTGAAGAACTAAAACTCAGATACGTCTATCTCAAAAAGAAGACCAATCGAAAAGAATTCTTTAGATATCTTGACAAACACCTAGTTCCTTCAAAGATCCTTCAGAAATTCATCTCCAACGCTGCTAAAAGTGAAGCTCCTGAGCATGTGAAAAAGAAGTTCATTACACCTAAAATGGTACTTGTAAATCCAAAGTTGGCTACAAAGTGCCTATCTTTTGTGTCTGATGAAGCCCACTGAGTTGATTGATTGCTAAGTTTACTAAGGGTGGGATTGTTGATGCATTAAAAGTGAACCTCTAGCAATCCGAGCCAAACCAGATCTGAAGTCAACCTCAGTCCGAGATATAAAGAGTTCAAAAGTTAGTCTTCTACTGAGATGAAGACATATCTAAAGTTAATCTTTTGATGTGATAGAGTCTATACAAGCATTAAATGTTTTTTTGTATTTTTTTTATTGAACGGTTCTTAGGACCAAATCAAGTAAATCTTTTATGTGTTAGATTTGCCAAACACTTAGTTTTACATAGTCTATAGAATGTTCTCGATTTGTACTATGTCTCTCCTTTACTGTTTAAGGAGATGATGCTTCATGGATTGCAAGTAAGAAATAGAATTGTTATCTTCACATCAATTACAAATTCTCTTAGTTAAATATCTTTCACTATTATTCTAATTTTTCTTAAATTATCTTTACTTTTCTCATACTCATTTTACTCTCTTAAACTTTTTTTTTGAACACTTTGTTGACTATCATCTTCAAGTCTTGACTGGTTTACCAGACTTGACTAGACCAATATGTAGCAACGAGCATCGATCATAAAAGTTAATTCAAGGTTTGAGTTTTCAGACCTTGTCCGCATACTGAATCTTGTACTTACATAATATCCTTATCAAACAATAATATAACTTACACATAACATAGCCTACCATATTACATACCCTTGGTGATTAGCCTTCCATAGTTACCCTACCATTCACCACTTATCAATTAAGTCCTTTGCTGGTCAATCATACATAATCCTGATAACTAGCCTTCCCCAATTACCCTAACCAAAACTAACTCCTAATAGTATCATAAAGTCAATAGGCAAGACCCTACGAGTCTAACATACCATGACATCAAGTGTCCCTTATCATATATTCATAGCAAGTAGTAATCCTAGTCAACTATCATACTTGTACACTAACAGTACCACTATCCTAACATACAAAGGATATACAATGGGATATACGACATAGTGAGAAGACTCACCTGAACTGAAGGACTAGAGAAGCACAACCACACTCTCACTTCCTACATCGATCAATCCCGCAAACCGAATAAGACCAAATGAAGATAAATCCTTAATCCACAACCCACAACATCCAAGTTTGGCCCAAGGTCAAGCGGTCAAAAGTCAATGGTTAACGGTCAACTATGTCAACAGCCACCACAATATTGTGACCTCTTGACAACGTCATGGACATGTCCAAACAAGACAGTTGACATGTAGTGTATCACCATGTCGTTGACCCTCCTTTGCAACGTCATAGGCATGAAGAGACAAAACAATCATGAAGTTGGAATCCACCACATCATGTCATTCCTTGGCCATGTCGCTGCTATTGGTAAATCCCTAAATTCTTCATTAAGAGAATAATCCTTATAGATCAAGGTTCAAAACTTCAAATCTAATCCTTCTCATTGACTTAATGGATAAAGTTTCCAACTTTATCGATGAGGACTTTACCTAAAGCAAGATCTACAACCCTAAGTCCATTAAGTCCTTAATATGTCCAAAACTTGGGATTGAGATCAAGAACACTCAAAGTAAGACATTTTCTCACTTAACAGAAGTCCAATACCATAAGAATGTCATATCAAGCTCTGGAGTTCCTCAAACTCCAAGAGCATCCAAGAATAGGACCAAAACCAACCAACAAGGATCATAAACATGAATCTCAAAAGAACAAGGTTAAGGTGAAATCTTTATACCTCCAAAGTCTCAAAAACTTGAAGAAGAAGATGGATCTAGACGTGCTCTTTGCTTCCTTGCACCAAGAAAGAGTTTCTTTATTCATAAGCTTCACCAAATCAAGGAAACAACTTCAAGATCAAGCCACCAAGCTCATAAACATGGAAGGGAAGTTAAGGTCTCGAAATGAAGAGATGAAGGCTGGTCAAGATGACCTAATCCATGAATTAAGGTGTTCAAATATGGGAGAAACTCTAAAAATCATAAGTTTGGGCAGCAACAACCACCACGTCATGACATCCTTCATGCAACGTTGTGGTGTCCATCCAAATAAGCGACCATTACATGTCATGTCACATCATGGTCATCTATTTACGACGTCATGTCATATGGTTTTACTCAAAAACCATATCTTGATCACATTAATTTTTAGCCATCTAGGATACAAAATATGCCATTAGATCTCTAAATACTAAGATATCACTCGAAATTTATATATAAATATAAGGAATATTAATAGCTTCTGCTAAATGATTACTAGACAATAGCTTCTTGCAGGGGCAACGTTTCAAATTTTGATTTTTTTTTGAGGGGAATATAATATGTATAAAAATTGATAAGCATGGGGCCACAACTAAAATTTCATATTTTTCAGCCTAATATGTATACAAAATATGCCTATGTTTACTTCCTTGGTGGAGATGATCTCATGGCTGAAAATAATTAAGCTCAATGTTTTTCAAAGAAAAGTTTTTGTTGCGTTCATTGTTGTTTTTGTTTGGGTCATATAGATTTATTGAAACAATGTTGTCTTTGCAACGACTAAATCTAGAAAGCCTGATATTTTTTACAAGGTTGTATGATCCTCTTATTTTTTAAAATAAGATTAGCTAAAATATGATGAATTGGAATATTGGATTGGTTGAGTGCAAACTATGTTGTCATACCATTATTTTTCTAGCTAGAATATAAAATTTGCCGTTGCCCCTATAAAAAATATAGAAATTATGTTTTTTAGTGTTTTACGGGTCCATTTAGTCAAAACAAGTACCTTTAAATCTTATATAAAATATAAAATAAAATAATATATAATATCAATCCAGTATTAAATAGTAACAAAATAAATGATAAAAACAAACAAATAGAAGATGAGATACAAATATAAAAGGCTGTCTCTTCGCTCCCTCTCTCCTTCCCCCTCCACCATTTGAACAATCTAACCTACTTTTTAGGTACGTATCTCTTCTCTCTTTCTTTTCTCTCTAGTTAAAAATACATCTTTTATTACATTAGATACATAAGAGATAGCATGATTCTAGTACACATACGCACATCTGAAATATAAGTAGATGTGTAATTCTTATTGTTTTGTTCTTGTTTGTCTTCTTTTAGTTTTACAACAAACATGGTTTTCGAAAGATTGAAGGTGTCACTGAAGATAAGATTCAGGTCTCTGAAGATATGGAAACCGAATGATGATTCATACAACAAGATTGAAAAGAGTGATAGCATGAGGGTTGAGATACGAAGCAGGAAAGCACGTAAACTTATTGAAGAAACTCTTAGAGTCGCTGATTCTCCCAAGTGTACTAAAGCCTACTCTTTCTAAACTATTAGTAGTAATATTAGAAGTAACAATAATTCCAATTATTCCATACTTGTGTTTCTGTATAGATGTTTAGTTTCCGGAGGTGTTATCGAGTTCTTGAACCTTTAAAATAACCTAAAGTTCGTTTTGTGTGATTTGCATGTGAATTTTTCATGTTAAATATGTCAGATGTCATGATTATTTTATAAAGCATGGGAGATTTATACTGTGTTAGTTTTGGTAGTTAATTAGTTACTGAGGTTATGATTGAGTTAGTGATTGTTTTTCAACTTTTAGTGACGCCACATGTGGTCAGAATATTTCCTCTCTTTTATCAGGAATGTGTGGTGAGCATAAAGGCTAAAGCAGACCATAAAAAGAGTTTTTTTTTTTGTGCAAATCACGTGTATTATCTCTTCTACATGTGCATTGACATTAAAAATCGATGTAGTAGAAAAAAATATATCAAAAAAATGAAAGTGTGTCGTCATATATATTATTAATTCGATCAAAAGGGGAAAAAAATGGTTGTTTGGTTGTAGAAAAAGAACGATAGGGTAGGGTGAAGGGTGGGTATGGCTGTTAGGGCATGTGAGTTGTTGATTACATGTTTTTCTTCAGAATTCCAAAGTTTTAACACCAATTTAAGTTGTCTAGTGTTGCAAATAAGAATTTAAAAAAAAAAAATTGAACTTTATATTATTTTATTTATCATTTTTTACTGAATGAAATAAAAAATGTAAAGGTTATTTTATATTTTTGGTGACATTAATTCAAAAATTGTATGATATTCCTAATAATTTTTACATTGATAGTCTCCTTGAAACATTTCGAGAACTCCAATAAATAACCTTCTAGAACTCAAAAGATGGCCACATCTATAATCTATATCCTCTTAGTTCGTGACTAATTAAGTTATTTTTTTTATCTAATTTTTTCTTCATGGATTTGTGTCATTAATTGTTTTTCCCTATCATATAAAGAATACCCATAATTATATATTAACTTCTATTGTTACAAATAACTGAATAAGTATTAGATTAATTTAATAGATAACGTAAACAAACTAACAAACAATTGGAAAAAAAAATCCTTATTCAAACCTTGTTTTCTATTGCTAATTTTGTTATAGGTCATATTGATTTAAAAAAAAAAAAAAAATGTTTGGTTCAAATCTTCGAATATAGTTATATAGATAACAATAAAATTATTTACCCAAATTTAATGACCCAATGTCAAAATCATGAATCCATTTTTCCAAAATAAAAAAACAGGTATGGTGGCCCACGACAAGATCAGCTGAAATGAAGAATCTGTGTTTTCTTGTTTGAGCCCATGGATCGATGGGCCCAATTTTAATCATAGTGTGACACTGTAACTCTATGATTGAAAGAAGACAACCAATTCATGTCGGATGACGTTTCTCTAATCTATATGATTCTTGAACTTACTGTTTAGGGATAAGGCTAAGAATTCTTGAGATAATATATATAACAAACCAACAATGTGTATAGAAAATAAACAAGTTTGATCGATAACATCATCTATCAATTGCCAAATAGTACACCAATAACTTAACGTTACTCCGGTATAAGTGCGTTAATGAGAGGACAAGATATTATTATTTGGAGAAACCGAAATATGAATCAAAACTCCAAGTAAAAGTATAGTACATAAACTAATCACACAATGAAGACTAAAAATATGATCGCAACTTCGAATATCGAATTCAAAGTACTCAAATAGGAAAAGATGCTCTGAATAATAGAATACTAATAAAATATATGATCACCCAACATTTATTTATTGAATTTGAAAAAAAAAAATCAGAACAAATGGTTTGATCCTTTTGTTGTTTCTTGAACCAAAAAAAATCAATTAATGGGAATCCATATGACGACATGCATATATATACAAATAGTCCATTTTACAAACACAGACATCTAATGATTTAAAAGTCCACTAATCCATGTTCAAGTTTTTGACTCAATTGGTAATCCACCTATAGCCTACACCCACAAGGCCCATATCTTTTAATTGGCATTCCTTATGATGGTAAACGATAATTACACAACAAAACATTACACATTAATAATTTTATATTAACTTTTGTGTAGTTCGTATTTGTAATTGTCCTGTAATTTATATTTAACATGGTTTTAAGAGCATAATTTGTAATTAATATTATGATTTCCTATAATTATACTTGAAAAGAAAAACCATCAATTTTTTTTAAACGAGCATCCTGTTAGGGAAATGTTCCATAATACAATCTCATAGATGAAACGAACAGTTATATCAAAGAGCCAATTAACTTTGAACTTTAAAAACTTGTATGTCAAATTTAAAAGAGGTAAACCTAGATTCATTGATTCATGATTCTAGACAGCAACCATCGATCTTAAACCATCTAATAACCAACTTGATGAAATTAGACGATTATGAATTAAATGTAGACCATATCAACTTCATAAATCAAAGTATAATTTCAGTTCTAGGGATCCTAACGGTTGTATGCGTACTTTTCATCAAATTTCATTTAACAATTTTTTATGATTAGAATATTCTGAGAAAAAGTATGATGCATCATGCTTCATTGTTTTCTTTTTAATAAAAACCTATGTAAGTCTCCTTTATTCTAAAATTTTTGGTTTCTGATCCTTTTTGTTGGTTGCCAATATATAGCAGAAAATGAGGGTACTTTACCAAAATTTTCAAAACAAATCAACCTAAAATGAGAACTGTCACATGGATTTTATAGCCTAGTCTTAAGGGCTAAGGTCATGGTGGAGTGGTATGTTGGTTGAGATGGGTGGTCTACAAGACCTAAGAGTTTGCATTATTGGTGAAGGACTATCGATAATGCATATGATATGATATGATTTGATATTATATATATATATATATGTGTGTGTGTGTGTGTGGGGGGGGGGGGGTGATAGATGTGTATGATAGGTTCTCTAGTTGTTCATGTGACCTCTTCACGAACTTCATATGAGTAGTTTACATATTCCTTATCACCTTATGTCGGTTTGATTCCTAATCTTCTAAGAACCATCGGTTGACAAAAGTACACCTCAATTGAGCTCATTTGTGTTTTGATCTACAATAAATTCCCTTCTCCAAATAATCAAGGGTGTCCCGTTCATTTTAAGAATTTGTGCGAAAATAAAAAATAAGCCCTAAATATAATATTTATTTATATATAAGCAAAATTCGTTGATACTACGATAAGTCGATAAATGTGATAAAAACAATTAAAACAAAAGAACGATAATAGGAAATATAATCTTATATATAGTTACATTAATTGCGGGACTTTTCCTAACATTCTTGAAAAAAAATTTGGTTACATACTCTTTATAATCAAGTACTTCATCGTCCTCAATAACTATCATTATGGATCTATTAAGGCTTTTTTTTTTTTTTTTTTTTTTTTGGGTAACATTATGGACCGTAAGTAGGATTTTAACAACTTTAGTTTTGAGAAATTTCTTTCTACAAACGTCTATGTTACTTAAGTAGCCAACAAAACCTATATGTAATAATTGCGTAAGGAAAACAGTCGATTTTTTTCATATATTTTAAAGCATCGGTGAAATTAGTAGTTTCACTTAGTAAGAATCTGTGATTAAGAACAAAAAAAGTGTGTCATCGATTTCTTACATTCAATAAAGTCAAACTCACATTGAAAGCTCATATAGTTCGAAAATATCTATAAGAACATTGTTCAATTACCTTGTCTTATTGAGTTCGACCCAAGAATATTACTATTATATATACATATAGATTGAAAAGCTTTATAGGTGTTCTAATCAAGTTCTTGTAAAATTGAACTCGACTCACATCTTTTGAGTTTGTTTTTGTACTCAAGCTCCAACTCAATTGAGTTCTGGGTTTGAAAATGCTCAATATTTTGGTAGTCATTAGGCAAATACTACTGATTTTTATCGTGTTTAAGAGTTGTTTTTTTTTTTTTTTTTTAAATTTTTTTTAATTTTTTTTATTGTTGTTGTTGTCATTTTCACCCAAGCTTATGATATCCATGGATTGGATGATCGAGTCCTTGCCACTTTAAGATAAGAGTGGCATAAAAAAATCTAAAATTGAGCCCCAAATTTGGATTAAATTGCAGAAACTACCCCATATTATTGAAAATTACATATTTCTACCGGATCCTAGATGAAGGGGTAATATATGCATATAGTCCATAGTATCAGGGGTCTATATGAAACTCCAGAAAGCCATGTATGAACACTCAACGGTCCAATCTTCAGAAGATTGTGCTATATCTATCTGGATCCAGCCCATATACCCAACATACACGTCAACACAACATAAATTTTCGTCAGAAGTATACGACTGATTCTGTTTCCACAGTGTGCAGACCCACTAACGGCTCTCATTTTCAGGTAATTTGCGTCATGAATTTCATGAATTTATGTGTTTTTGCAAGTGGGGTTTTTACGATCTTTCGTGATTATCAGTTAATTTTTGATGAGATTGCTCTTTCTTTTGTGAACTCGAAGCATTGTTGTTTGCGATTTCAAGAGGTAATTAATCTGTGTTGGGTATTTGATGATTCACTTAGGGTTCCTCTTTTGGTGTCATTTGTCTTGATTGAAACGGAATAACCTTTTCCCCTCTTCGTATAAAGTTATTGTATCCCTTTTAGTCAATAAAAAGATCAGATCAGGTGAATTGCGTCATTGTTGCCATCTTTGCTTTAGATTAGGTTTTCCGATATTGGAAACACTAACCTGAACTTTTGTACATATGCCCACCAAGTGTTTGTTAATATGCCAACCTTATAGTTCATGCTTTCTCTAGTTATCATTAACTTTAGGGTTCATACATATATATTCAAAACTGAGAATCATGCATAATAATTCTGAAAAGAAACCAGGATGTAAGAAAGATGATTTTACTCCATATTTTACCTCTCTTCTTTCATTTCTCTTCACCTAACATTTCTACCATATAAAAATCACAAAAAAGCATCTTCAACTGCAAACACCAACATATAAATAATCAAGAATTAATAAATATTAATAATTCAACACATACACTTAATAATCGATGTTTCCCATCTTTTTATTGCAGGAAGAGTTGACTTGTAGCTATTAGCATTAGATCCAGGATTGTGTTCTACTCCTGCATCTCTTGTGTAGCCAATGGTAACCCCCCACCCCCACCCCACCCCCTACACACACACCCCTCATCCATTATCTTTCAATAAATTTAACTTACTTTTTACATTTTACAGGCTACCAATGAGAATCTACCTCCAAATGTAATAAAACAATTAGCTAGAGAATTAAGAAATCTTGATGAAACACCACCCGAAGGAATTAAAGTTGGTGTAAACGATGATGATTTTTCAACAATATATGCAGATATCGAAGGCCCAGGTATATATACATGATTCTTATTTTGTGTTTTATCTCTTTGAATTGACTAAAATACCCTTCCTCATCATATACAGCTGGGACTCCATACGAAAGTGGTGTTTTTCGCATGAAGTTGATTCTTTCTCGCGACTTCCCTCATTCACCTCCTAAAGGTTTGTCAATTCTACTCGAGTTTTACTATATACAATTATACATATAACTTTTAATTAAAATATTAAAAAATATATATATTGTGTTATATTTTTAGGTTATTTCTTGACCAAAATTTTTCATCCGAATATTTCATCAAATGGTGAGATCTGTGTAAACACATTGAAAAAGGATTGGAACCCAAGTCTTGGCTTACGCCATGTTTTAGTTGTAAGTACTCACATTTTTTTTTTTTTTTTTTTACCAATTATAGCATTTTTATTTTATCTTTTTACACATAAATAATAATTATATTTTTACACGTAAATAATAATTATGTTTTTATATTGTTATAGGTGGTTCGATGTTTACTCATTGAGCCATTTCCAGAATCAGCATTAAATGAACAGGCTGGGAAAATGCTTCTAGAAGATTACCAAGAGTACGCTAGACATGCCAGGTCAGCAACTTAGCATCACCATTGGTTCCTATTATAGCAATTAACTTTTATTTTTAAAAATTTATTTTTAAGATTTATGAAAAATAATTTTCTTTTTGAATAAATTTTTTAAAGGCTGTATACTGGAATCCATGCGTTGAAGCCAAAGCCAAAGTTGAAGACAGTGGTGGTGTCCGAGTCAACACCTGGTCAAAAGGTTGACCAGTCAACACCTGGTCAAAATGTTGACCAGAAAAACATGGGACCAGGCGTGGTGGTGGCAACTCCATTGGGTCCGTCTTCGAATACAATGAAGGGAGGAGGAGGTCAGGAGGTGCCGCCAAGTGCCGCTGTGAATCCGGTGGTGGAGATCGGAGTTAGTAGCGGATCCGGTGCACTGCCGCCACTGGGATTGGCGACACTAAAGAAGGAAACGGTGAAAGTGCAAACGGATAAAAAAAAGATTGATGCTAGGAAGAAAAGCTTGAAAAGATTGTAATTGTTTAAACTTTAAAGCAAGTTTATATGATAGTAATGTGGTTTTATTTCCTTTAGTGTTGTTGGAATGTTTTATCTAACAATGTGACTTAGTGATTCTGAATTGGGTTTTTACTTTTTACTTTTTACCAAAGATAGGAATGTATTTATTTATTTATTTATTTTTTTACACGTAATATCAACGTGCTTAAGTTTTGCTATATAAATGTAAGTGTGTTGTTATGGGTAGAGAAATGCAATTGTAACGCTATTAGGTTGTTATTTATTGTAATTAGTTTGACACTAAAAGCTAACATGTATTTGGTAAAGAAAAGAAGAAAAAGTTAGCATTTTATCACCTTCTGATTATTACAAAATAGTTTTTACATAATCTTTGATGTAAACCTGTTTATGTGAAATGTAATTAACTTGTTTTTGGTAAATTGGCAAAAGAATCAACTATTTCGGAAGGGGTCATTCTGCACTTGAGTTTGGCCCGGCCCATTAAGAAATGGGTCAGGGACTCGGTGGACCCATACTTGATGCAATTCAAGAATGTACACCGAGAAACACGACATCTCAGATTAATTGGCAAAGTAAAAACTGGCACTCGATCCTGACGATATTTGGGGTACTTGCTTCCTTTACTTATCATTATTTGAGTGTTTTTTTTATGGAGTAACAAATAAAAAAAAAAAAAAAAAAAGTCCGAAATGTTTTCATTCGTGTCCAGAATGCGAAGAACATGTTTGTAATGGATTTTTATTTCGTATCCAAAACATTACATAGCTACTTATTTTTCACCCGTTGACCCTCTTATAACTTAAAAACTACTATAGCATCTTGTTCATTGCCTTTAGCTAATCTTTCGACTGCTTTAAAATGAACTGCTATATTTTGTAAAGTAATGAGGAAAACAATATGGATTGCAAAGAACAATCGTCCAAAAATGCACGTAATAATCCGGAACAAACTTTGGTTTTATTTTTTACTAACTTGGTTGGATATTCGGGATAGTCCGTTAGACACGTCTCTCACTATGTCATGCAAACTTGTCATTGGTGTCGATATTCTTGGTAAACTGCAACACCGAATGAAATGAAATACTCTTTTCCAACATTCATGTTTTGGTAGGAAGCTCAATGAAACGCTCGGTTCCCAGGTAAATTCCCTAAATTCTAAGTGATTAATTGTAACGTCAAGAAAATCAGAGTAAATTTAAATTTTTCAAAAACATCCTAATTGATGGGTTTTGGTCATAAGACATCCTATGTGCTCATACAAACCCTAATGCTTGGATCTAGGTTTTTCTATTGTACATGCTTTGAATCCAAGACTATAAACCCTAATTCTAGCATGCAAGTAATCATATTAACATGTAATTAGGTTTAAGATCATACCTTGATTGTTATGTAGCAATAACAATCCCAATTCCTCCTTGTATTGACTTTGGAAGGCTTAGAGTCACAAGTGTCACTCCTCTAATGGCTTACAAACACCATAAGCAAGAGGATGAAGAGGAGAGAGGATGGAGGCTACCAAAAAACGTGTAGAAACCCTAACAAGAAGCTTAGCCACGTTTTTGAGCCTTAAGGGATCTTTATATAGTTGGGTATTAGGGTTATCTAACAAGGAAACCCTAATATGAATGCTTAAGCCCTAAGCAACCCATAGACTCCTTTAATTAAGCCCATGGACGATTTCCTTATGGGTTTCCCATTAGAATTCGTTCATCCCTTAATATAAGGCAATCCATGGCCCAAATCATAATTATCTTATAATTACAATTCCAGTCCCTTAAGTTTAGTTAATCTCTTTTAGTCACAAAACTAATTACCAATTAATTATTGACTAATACTAATTAAACAATATGATTTCTCCTTTAATATATTATTCTCATAATACATTAATAAATCATATTTAATCCTTACTCTCCATAATTCATCCTATCAAGTTGCTTTGGTGAAGGCAACCCAAAAGGACCATGCACCATCAGGTCAAGTACATACCAAAATAGTTATGGACTTAGACACTAATCCAACACCAATAAGCATAAATGTTTAAAAAATCATTGTTTCAAAAGTGTTATTCAATAATCAGAGTGTTCCAGATATCCAAATAACATAAATCTGAAACATGTGCATGATCATGTATTCGTCTTGTCACGGTCATCTGAGTTACCTGAATAAATAAACTGAAACTGTAAGTTAAAGCTTAGTGAGTTCCCCTAAAGTACCACCACACAAACATATAACCAGATAGATATCGGGTTCACAACTTTTTGGTTGGATAACCCTCAGCTCACAACCTTTCGGTTGGATTGCCGATACATATTGAGTCCACAACCCCTTGGTTGGATTACCCATGACTCACAACCTTTGGGTTGAAATGCCCTGGTTTGTTAACTGGCAACAAAAAGCAGCATAGTCTCAACCCTACCATGTCATGTCAACATATACATAACCAATAACATAAATAACTAGCAATAGATATACATATAACAAGTTCGGCAGACACACAAGTAGGCCTACAGATCACTACTACATAGCAACATCATATATACCAAGATAAAGATCTAATAGATCACTACATCATATAAACCAGGATACACAATCTAGAGGGTTAGCAATGGTGCCTTCGACCCACGAGTATGGTGAGGAAAACTCACCTCTCAATCTGAAAAGAGAGTTTATCACACCACAACTCCGCATACCAACTCTACAGGTCACCTATACATCAAATAGTGACATTGTCTCAAAATATTTCCTAAAATACCCAAAATACCCTCAGGTTGAACTTGGTCAAAACCCTAGGCAAAGGTCAAAGCCAACAAGTCAACTCAGCCAGTCGCCACGTCATGGCTAGCTCTAGCCACGTCGTGGGGACTATAGGAAAAAATAGTCACATGGCAGCCATACACCACGTCCCAGTGACCCATTCACCACGTTGTGGTGACTATTCAGACCAGCTAAATCTAATAAGCTCTTAATCCATCAAACCAACCACTCAAACTTACCATAAGGCATTCTCTTTTCTAATAAACCATAAAAAGCATTGCTTTATAGACATGCATGTCAAATCCACGTCTTGAATTCAAACTAGGTCAAAATAGAGTAAAAAGGGCGAAGATCACATGCAAGAGTTTAAAAATCTAATAAATTTCATATCCAACACTCTTAACCCCAAAGGGACTCTGGGGATCCATAAAGTTGACAACTTTATGGAATCCCAACACTCCAATATATCCCAACATGAAGAATAAGGCATAGAAACCTAGATCTATGCACAATAAACTAAAAAGCATGGAACTTGAGGACTTATAAAAGTCCATAAGATGCACAACAAGAAGATGAGAAGAGTTTCTTGTTGAATCCAAGACCAAATGTCAAATTCTTATTATTCTAATACCTAAAAAATCAACACGAAATGCTTATAAAGCAAGTTGGAGGTTAGGATTTGCTTGGAGCCTGAGAGAGTATGATGGAGGCTGAGGGTGAGCAAACATCGCCATCACATTCCCTTAAATAGGGACAAAAACCCCAGAGACTAGGGTTTCTCATTAAACTGCCTCCACATCGTAGATATAGGTTGCCTCGTCATGGTGGTCATTTAAAAACTATAATACAACGACCATCGTCATGTCATGGGATGCTTTCACCATGATGTGGTCCATCCAAAATACATTTAATTTAAATACCTCCAGGTATCTGGATGTTACAATTCTCCTGCACTTGAATTAGACTTCGTCCTCGAAGTCCGTAGATGAAAACAACTCAGGGTAATGCTCTCGCATCTCCTCCTCGGGTTCCCAAGTCCATTCAAACCCTTTCAATGTTGTAACTGAACCTTGACCAAAGACACCATCTTGTTGCGCAAGGCCTTCATCTTCCAATCCAAAATTGAAACTGACCTTTCCATATAATTTAGGCAATCATCAACCTGAATATCATCCAAGGGAACCACCACCAAATCATCAGACATACACTTCCAAAGCTGAGAACATGGAAAGTGTTGTTAATCTGACTGAGCTCCTCAAGAAAATCCAACATGTAAGCCACCTTGCCAACCCTGTCAATCACTCGAAATGGATCAATATACCGGGGGGTCCAACTTACCCTTCTTCCTGAAACATATTACACCCTTCCCGGGTGATACCTTTAGCAAAACCATGTCTCCAACCTGGAACTCTAGCTCAGATTGACGCTTGTCAGCGTAACTCTTCTGCTGACTCTAAGTTGTCTGTAGCCTATGTCTAATCTGATGTATAAGCTATATCGTCTGAAGTACTACCTCAGTACTTCTCATGACTCTATGACCAATTTCCCCCTAAAAAACTAGGGTATGACACCTCCTCCTATAAAAGAGCTCAAATGACGGAGCACCGATACTCGAGTGGTAGTTTTTGTTATATGAAAACTCATCTAGGGGAAGGTAGGAGTCCCAAATCCCACTGAAATAAATCACATAGGCTTGCAACATATCCTCGAGCGTCTAAATGGTCCGCTTTCTCTAACCATCCATATGTGGATGATAAGCAGTGTTGAGATGCAACCTCATACCCAATTCCTCGTGGAACTTCTGCCAAAAACAAGATATGAACTGAACATCCTGATCAGATACCATGGAGACTGGAATACCATGCTGAGAAACAATCTCCCGCACATATAAATCAACCAATATCTCTTCTAAAGAAGCCTCTCGAATGGCTACAAAGTGGGCGATCCTAGTTAGCCAGTCCACTATAACCCAAATCACATCAAATCCCTTAGTCGACCAAGGTAACTTGGTGATGAAATCCATCGAAATATGTTCCCATTTCCATACACGAACCTCCAATGGCTACAACTTTCCATGTGGCCTCTGGTGCTCGACCTTGGTCATCCGACATGCCAAGCATCTCTCAACATACCATGTTATATCTCTCTTCATGAACCGCCACCAGAAACTAAGTCTCAAATGTCGATACATCTTGGTGGCTCTAGGGCGTATTGAAAATCTGGACTTCTGTCCCTCCTCCAGCACAACCTGTCTTACTCCACCAAAATCTGGTACCTATACACGACCATACAGGGTCAATAATCCACGACTATCGGTAGAAAACCAGTCGATCTTGCTTATGAGTCGCTCTTGCTTCCAGTTATCTTCCTTGACTCCCTCAGCCTGAGACTCCCTAATCATACCCAATAATCGTGATTTAATCGAAATACGCATTCATAGGTTCCACATACAAAACTAACCGCCTTGCAACTCAAAGCATCTGTGACCACATTTTATTTTTCTTCCTTGACCATGTCAAGCCACCTATGTTGCTTCAT